GATGCATCCTCACAACGGGGGCAGTTGTGCCTGACTGAACTCTGTCCCCTGTTTCAAAGCCACTCACCTCCGGGGGGTGCTGGGGTTGTGGCTCAGTGGTACTGCTTGCCTAGCAGGTGTGAAGCACTGGGTTTGATCCTCAGCACCACATAAAAAATAAATAAATAAATAAAGGTTTAAAAAAATCCACCAAGCACCAAACACCTTCCCACTTGGCTTCCTTCTGCCCCACACTAGGTGGTGGTTGTTATTTAGTTATTACTACTTTTTCAGTTACTGCTATAGCTAGTGCTTATTGGGGATCCACAGGAGACGGATTGCACCCAGTGCTAACCCGTGCTCTCCGTGATGGGGGAACGCAGTCCCACTTTGTGTCAAACTTGGAAAGACGCCATCTTTTAGGTATGGATGCTAACCAACATAGTTGAACTGAAACTACAAACTCTGGTGTTCATGTGGACAATCCAGAGAGATTACAGAAAAGGTCCTGTCACCATGGGAACAAAAACATCCCAGCTACCTGAGAATAGGGGAGATGGGAAGTAAAATCAAATGAAATCAGCCTGCACACTCCACCCTGACTGGGTGCTAGACTGGCTTCTGTGCTTCTTTCCACCAAGCCCCTGAGAACTCTTCATGACATCTCACCCTGAAGGCTGGGATGGGAGGTTCCTGGATTTGTACAGAGGCATTCCGTTCCCTAGGAAACGATCTCATGATTGAGAACTGCAGTCAGTTTCCTGGGTAAGTTATATTCCATGGGCCTCTTAACACTTGGTATTTGTTGATGGCTGTGCTAGATACTGTGACTTGGCAAAAGGTTTGTGAGTTTTGTTTTTTGCTGGTCATTCATGAATCAAAGCATAATATGGAACCATCTTCTATATTGAAGCCCCTGAAGTACAGCTTTTTTAGCTTGGCTGGGGGAAATCTGCTCCTTCAATCCACAAGTATCCATCGAAGGCTTGCTATTCTAGGGCAGAGTGGAGAAATAAAGGCAAATCTTCGAAGATAGGCAAGTTTATGGTTGTGTAGCACCTAACACCTAGCACCCTACCCAGCGCTTGGTCATCACGCACTATCCACTGAATAAGTAAATAGAGGAAGACACCTCTGCTCCCTCTGGCAGCCAAGAATCTAGCGCTTGATGGAGACAATAAAACAAGCAATGCCAATGCTGAGTGACAAGTGCTTAGGTAAGGGAAGCACAGGGTACTGGGGAACCCAGAGAAGGGCCATTTAGGCTGAGATTCTGCTCCCAAAGGGAACTGTGTCAATGAATACGCAGGAGTAGCCTTGAGGAAAAGGAAAAGGAACACAGGTTCTTCTAGACAGAGGCAAGGCCTGGAGGCTGAAGACCAAGAACACGATTCCAGTTCTGTAGGGAGCAAAAGCAAGTCCCTGACACGGGGAACCAAGAAGCAAGACGTGAGGGCGCAGAGATAAGAAAAACCAGACCACGAGGAACAGTGTGAGTCATTTATGGAACCTGGTTGGGATGGGCTGGAATCAGCCACTGGAGTGGTTGGCCACCAAGGACTGAAGAATCCCCGGAGGTGAGGTTGGCGTCCAGAGAGGACGTGCGCGGAGGTGGCCGTGCACACACCGAAGCATTGCCTGTCTTTGCCCAGTGCTCAGAGGTAGAGTGCACGCCTAGCATGTGTGAGGTCCTGGGTTCAATCCTTAACACCATATAAAGTAAAATAAAGACATTGTGTTCACCTATAACTAAAAAATAAATATTAAAAAAAAAGACTGAGCAGGAGTTTAATGATCAAAGGAGAAGGAGAGAATTTAAGAACATCATATTATTAAAACAGCAGTTGTTTGGGGAAGTCTGAAGTAGCAACTAGTCTAGAAGAAATGTCTTAAATAAAAGAGGTGAGGTCAGTACCTTACCTTTCTCTCCAGATGTGGTGGTGAACTTTCCAAAGATCATCTGCTTCCTGGGCTAAGAAATCTCAGAGTCCCTCCAATGAGTGACACAATACCCTGCAAGAGGAACATGGTGAGTTCAGCTTGCTGATTAGACTTGTGTGCTTCTAGAAGGAAAGGACCCTCTCTAGTCAGCTTTCTCTCTGACATTCTTAGCTTCATACTGAGTGCAAAAGATGCTGATGGAGTCCTCTTCACAGAGGTGCATAGATGGCATTTAGCAAGTCCTCCCCTGGGACGGAGAGAAGTTTGGTTTACCTAGCTGGATGTGGCACGACATTATAAAGGTCACATCTTTCTGGTGGTCACAACAAAGCATTAAACACAAACAAAAAAGCATAGTGAACCATTGAAAAGCTCCCAAACCCCAGAGCGAGTCCCTAAACTTCAGGTTCTCTCTTTCTTACTAGGAAGGGACATAAACTAGTTGGCATGATGGTCATCTTACTGTCCAAACCACGCCCTGTTTGCTCAGTCTTGACTGCAGTGTGCTGGAGAGGCGTTGTGTGACCCTGCCCTGGCTCCCTCGCCAAGTCCCTGGCACTCTTTCCTTTCTGGCAAGAAGCCAGCTCCCTCTGATCTGGGCATCCTAAGCTGGACACTCTCCCACGCCCCATCCCATCTTGTTACCTTTGTCCCCCCCAGCCCTCCATGTTCCTCCTAAGGTTCTCAGTCACATGTCCCCCGGCTGTCTTGCCTCTCTGCCAGCTTAGCTCACCCCTTTGCTTCCCATCCCGTCTGCTCCTCCCCAACCCTCCTTGGGAACCTGAAACAGCCATCTTCTCCTCTGTGGCCATGTGGCCAGGGCACAAGATTGAGCTCCCTGGACTCTGGATTAGGCAGAGGTGTTCCTGGAAGGCTTGGATTCTGATCTGGATCTTGTTCTCCTCAGCAACTCCGAAGTCACGTGGCTGCTCTAAGCCTTGACTTCCTCATGCAAAAGATAGTTTGAAGAATATTGACTTTATAGGGTTGCTGGGAGAATTGGCTGAGACGATGGACATGCAGACCACAGTACTGTGTGCTGTGGGCTTCTGACAAATGTTCCGTCAACAAGGGCTTCCCCACAGCATCTCACAGCCTGCCTCCCAGTGACCCTAACCTGGTGCCTCATGGTGCCCCAGTGGATTGTGCCCTAATAAACCTCCATAGATAGGACACCATGGGTATTCTCTGTGAATGTGAATGAGGAGAGTCCCTGTTGTCATTGTTCGAGAAGAAGTCATGGTTTAGATGTGAGATGCCCCCCACAAAGCTCCTCTGAATGCAGGAATATTCAGAGGTGAAATGATTATGAGAGCTGTGACCTACTCAGCCCATCTTAGTTTAATGGGTGGACTGGGTAGTAACTGTAAGCAGCTGGGGCATGGCTGGAGGAGGTGTGTCACCAGGGGCACGACCAGAAGGGTACACCTTCCCTGTGCTTCTCCCTCCACCACTCTAGTTTCCTTGCTACCACAGGTGACAGTTTCCCTCTGCTTGGCCTTTCCTTCATGATGCACTGCTTTACCTTGTAGAGCAAAGGATTCCGTGGTCTATGGACTGAGACCTCTGAAACCATGAGCCCCAAATAAACTTTCCCTCTTCTGAGTTGTTTGTGTCCAGTTTTTCTGGTCACAGAGATGAAAAGCTAAGTAAGACAGAAGTAAAGCATAATGAACACTGGGTCTGTTGTGTGGTTGCTCCGGCCTCCCTGGGGGAAAGCGGTGCGTCCCGTGAAATTTGGGGGGCTCATCAGCACCATGCTACTGTGTGTGCTACGCATGGTGTTTAGGGTGCTATTTGGGAGCTAGAAAGTTTCCAACGACAGGGACAACTGGAGAGCTTTGTCTACATCTTTTTAGCTTTATTGACCTTGATCTGATTATTTTTCTGCAAGAAACTGGTCAGTCTTCCACTTAAACTGTTTCAGGACAAAAAGTCACTGAAATCTCTGTCCAGTCTGTTTAGCAAAGTCAGGGTAACCTAAATACCAAGATCTGATAAAGACACTATGAAAATAAGAAAACTGCAAATAAACCCAGCAAGATTTTGAAGAAACAATGCCTGACAGCCACCAGGGTTCTTTCGGGAGGCAGTGTCTCCCCAGGTAATATGCCTGAGCTCCCGGCCAGGCTGCTGGAATTCTAAGTCCCATCTGTGCAAGGCTGGGAAGGTAGGTTTGCTGTGTGACCTATGTAAGTGTAGGTTCCCTCCTTTGTGAGATGGAATGACAATAGTAGCCACTTCCTGGGACTTTTGAGCACAGCACTAGGATCACATCTGCACGTTGGGATCAATGATGCATGCCACTTGCCAGCACCCAAGGCCCTGTGTCTATAATTCAGAAAACTGCTTTCACAGGAATCTCTGCTTTTTGCATATTATTGGGCAATCAGGAACTTCCAGAGAGCCCTCTCAGATCTTTCAAAAAGAAGTAAATAAAGGAACTCAAGTCTTCTGATGTCTTCTGCCAGCTCTTTCCTCTCTGCACTCACAGCACAGAGCTCCACAGAGGAAATCTGCAGATTCCCTTCTGTGGCTCTGCCCTGGCATGAGAACTCCCAGTGCCTTTAGATGGCCCAGATCCTGGTGTCCTGTACTTACATTGCCAGGGGTGTGTGAGGCAGTGTCACGTCGAGGGCTTCCAGGCTTTCCCCAGAGAATGAGCACCAGGGTACACCGGTCACGTCTGTCCCGGAGAAACATACGGCAGGACGATCTTTGAGCTGGACAGCATTTTAATCAGTGCATTAGAGGAGGAGGGAGAAGAGTAAAGGCAAGAACAACAACAACAACAACAAAAAGCATGTGGGCGGATGCACTTGGGGCAGGAGCAGCAGCCGCTGCTTGCAGGTGAGGTTCCCAAGGCTGGCCCAGCGCGGTGCTGCGGAAGCAGGTGCTGCTCTACAGCGCTGGACCGCTAGGTGGTACCGAAAAGTCAGAGACTCCTGGGCTCTGCCCGGGTGAGAACAGGTTGTGGAGAGGAGGGACGCTCAGGTCCGAGGGGCGGCGACAGGGGCGGCGACAGGGGCGGGCCGGCTTCATAAACGCCGCTGGCGCTCCGCAGGAGGAGGACGCGTCCCAGTGATGGCCCTGAGCTCGCAGAGGCGGTCCCCGCGCGTGGACGCCGGGTGCCCAGGCTGAGCGCGGAGCAAGATCGGAGCCCAGGGAGAGCGCCGGTAAATAGCCACAACTTTCTATTTCCTTGAAATTATTTGGAAACGGATGCAAAATCGTGCCTACCCCACAGGTGGAGGAGGGCAGGGTGGAGGCGGCTAGGTCACTGGGCGAATTTTTAAAACAGCTGGATGTGATGTGATATCATAGTATACTTGGTCGATAACTCTGGGATGGAACTGGACATAAATATATAAAAAATGATTCCGGTTCCATAAATGCTTATGATTGTCAGTATGAATGAGGACGGAAATTCTCTGTCCCCAGGTGTGCTCTAGTTTGGAGGGCAAAAGGATTTTTTGAATATAAATCAAGACTGGCAAATAGAATAAAAAGGGACTGAAGTGTCTGACTCTAGTCCTTGATACATGTAAATGGCTGGGTTCTTCATACTGTGCTCCCGTGGAACTTACAAAGCTATTATTCAGACTTTCCGGGAATTTCAAATAATACAGAATGGGGGGGGGGATATTGATTGAGAGGAAAACAGCCTCATTTTTTCTCAACTTTAACCTGTTTGTACCTGGGAAGCTTAGGAGCTGGAGGCAGTAACTTCTATGTGAGATCATGCTCAAGGTAACACTATCACAGTCTTGGTTCTGGAGGTGTAGCTGTGCAGTCTGAGTTGCAGGGGTTTTGAAGACAGTCAGGGCCAATGTGAAGAATGCAAATGTCTGTCTTGAGAAATCTGTGCTCACTGGAGGAGCATGTGGCGTAGTCGCCTTAGGAATGTGAAAATCTGGAGAGAGGTTGGAGTTTTATGGGATTTTTGTAGGCTAGAGGGGACCTCACTTTTGAGAGTAAACTTGGGACCAGGGCAACAGGCATAAAAAGTGAAACCACCCTGGATACACAGAGATGAACGCCACTCTATTTAGGTAGGTGAAAAAATGTCAATTTACAGGAAGGAGATCAGAAAATGCTGTGAAAATTCTAGGTCTGGGTGTTAGAGGGGCAGTATCCCGGGGATCAGGAATGTAAGTCAGAATGTTCATTCATTCACCCCCTTTCCTGCGTTGTGATTGCTTTGGGATGTTTTTCTTTGCCTCTCTCTCTCTCTCTCTCTCTCTCTCTCTCTCTCTCTCTCTCTCTCTCTCTCTCTCCTTAACCTTTTGGATTATGAAAAATCCTGTTTTGCAGTACATTTACTGGCAAGAAGAGGTGGTGTTTTCCCCCAGCTATGAATTCCTCATTTCACCTGCATTTCTTGGACCTCGGCCTGAACTCCACTGAGGGCAACATTTCAGGACTCAATGTCAAGAACAAGTCGTCTCCCTGCGAGGACATGGGCATCTCGGTGGAGGTGTTCCTGACGCTGGGTCTCATCAGCCTCTTGGAGAACATCTTAGTCATTGGCGCCATCGTGAAGAACAAGAACTTGCACTCGCCCATGTACTTCTTCGTGTGCAGCTTAGCGGTGGCAGACATGCTGGTGAGCATGTCCAACGCCTGGGAGACCATCACCATCTACCTGATAAATAACAAGCACCTGGTGATGGCAGACGCCTTTGTGCGCCACATTGACAATGTGTTTGACTCCATGATCTGTATTTCCGTGGTGGCCTCCATGTGCAGTTTGCTGGCCATCGCGGTGGACAGGTACGTCACCATCTTCTACGCGCTGCGCTACCACCACATCATGACGGCCAAGCGCTCGGGGGCCATCATCGCGTGCATCTGGGCCTGCTGCACGGGCTGCGGCATCGTCTTCATCCTTTACTACGAATCCACGTACGTGATCGTGTGCCTCATCTCCATGTTCTTCACCATGCTGTTCCTCATGGTGTCCCTGTACATACACATGTTCCTCCTGGCGCGGACTCACGTCAAGCGGATCGCCGCCGCGCCCGGGTACAGCTCTGTGCGGCCGAGGACCAGCATGAAGGGCGCCGTCACGCTCACCATGCTGCTGGGGGTTTTCATCGTGTGCTGGGCCCCCTTCTTCCTCCATCTCATCTTAATGATCTCGTGCCCGCAGAACATCTATTGCTCCTGCTTCATGTCCCACTTCAACATGTACCTGATCCTCATCATGTGTAACTCCGTGATCGACCCTCTGATCTATGCCTTCCGCAGCCAAGAAATGCGGAAGACCTTTAAAGAGATCATTTGTTGCCATGGCTTCAGAATGAGCTGTAGGTTCCCTAGCAGGTATTAATCCCAAAGCCACCCTCTCTCTGGCTCTCAATTCTCCTCTGACAGAGCCGGTGAGGTCCAGCCAAGGAGCAGGGAGGATCACGAGGAATCAGAACTGCGATCCCCTTATCTCTTCTCCGGCTCAGATGTGTGGGCCTTTTCTCCTGTGGTCACTGTCATGTCAAATGTGTGCATGTTGCTTCTCCTTTTTGGAAGTGGCCTGTGACAGTTTCTCACTGTCCCTTTTCATCTTGCTATTTCTCAAGTCCAACCTCCCTCTGTGTGGACTTAGGGAATGCTCAACACAGAGAGTGCGTGTGAATCTAAGCCTGCAGAACAGGCTGCTATTGGAAGAAAAAGCATGAATATCTAGGGGCTGGGGCTGAGGCTCAGTGGTAGAGCACTTGCCCTGCATGCGTGAGGCCCTGGGTTCAAGATCCTCAGCACTACATAAAAAAAAATAAATAAATAAAAATAAAGATATTGTGTTCATCTGCAACTAAAAAAAGTTTAAAAATGTATGACTATCTAGATTAAATATGATTGCTTGTTTTCTTTTTTTCTTTTGCCCCAGAAGCAGGTTCATCCTTTGCCCGGTTCACTGAAGAGTAACGTATGCTTTCCAGGAAAGAATAGACGGTCGAATTCTTTCCATTTGAAATGTCCTGTTCACTTGTATGGTTGTCTCTACAGCTCTCTTTTCCTGAACTTCTGGCTTCGTGGCTTGTATTTATAATTGTCTGAAAATGGAATTTCCTTAACTATGCTTCTGTCAGTCATGGTTTTGCACTTACCCACACATAAAACTAGATGCTGCAAACCTTGCCTCGTGTGTTGTGAAAGTCTCTGTGATGACTCCGTACTGTCTTATCTGACTCAATCCAGGGTTCCCAAGTACTTGGGGGTGTGTCAGGGCCCTCCCCTCTCCTGCTGCATGGAGCGCGTGCCCCTGGCTGAGCTGTTTCTAACCTTCTCACCCAGGGTCAGTCTTGGTGTCTGAAACCCTGTGTGTGGATACTCTGCACTATCTCAACCTGACTCTAGCAGCTGTTGAAGGTTGGGGGCCCAATCTGGTACCCAGGGAGCCCCATCTTCTCTAACCTAGAGTGGAGTGAGAATACCCCAGTTCAGGCCCTAGCTCAGCTATCCCTGGCTGTGTGGCTAAGTAAATGTGTCAAATCTTCTAATAGCCCTGAGTGCTAAATGACATCACTGGAATTTCAGTTCCATAAGTGGGATGAAACATCTTATTTCACTCTCTGTGTCTGTGCTGACCTCTCCCAGGATGTTATTGAGGAAAATGAGAACTTCCAGTAAACAGTAAAGCTCTAGGAGGATTTTCTTTTTCTTTTTAAAAAATGAACCAGATGGGAGAAAAACTAAGGAAGAATGCAGGGTTAGTGGTCAGAGTAGTGACCTGGACACCAGCAGACCTGCTGTGTGGCCTCTGGATCCCAGGGTCCTCATCGGAAGTGAAGTATACATTCCAATCTCTTAATGGCTTCTTGGTGTTTGTTTTTCTCTTTGGTTTGGACATTCACACCTAGAAGGAAATATGTAAAATAAAGCAGTAGATCATCAGGGGCATACAACAGTGAGCTACTAGAACAAAGAGGGCCCTTCCTGCTGAAGTCCGTTGGGGCAGAGGAACCCCGGGTGTAGTCACAGAAATCACCTGTGGGTATGACGCTCACCCTGGGGAGTGCAGAGTTGGGGTAAAATCGTGCTCGCATCAATAAGAAAGTGCGTAAGACACCCAGATCTTTGGAAACTGGCAAATTAGTAAGTTATTAACAATTGGAATTTGAAGGGGCATATAGCCCTTCAAATGTTCTCTGTTCCTCTTTGCTGAAAATTCCTGTGTGTAATCACGAACAAGAAGCAGGTGATCACAATGTGATTATGGAAACCCCAGCCCTGTGTTCTGTGGCAGTGGCCTCCCGTCTTGTACAGAGTAGGCACTCATTTAATGTTTGTTAGGTGGCTAAGTAAATGTGTCAAATCTTCTAATAGCCCTGAGTGCTAAATGACATCACTGGGATTTCAGTTCCATAAGTGGGATGAAACTGACTCTCATAGTTCACACTGGCTCATTTGGGAACTCGGTTCTTATTGGGCTAATTCTCGGTTCTGGTGCTTCATGACTCGGTACAAGGTCCGACCTTTTATGTGAAGGTCTTAAGGAAATGCTCCAATGTCTTTTAAACCACATTTAAGTACTACAGTAATAGCCCATGTATTTAGATGTGTCTCCAGTTGGAAGGAATACATGTATGTAGCGACTTGGTCAATATCTGTAAATGAGCCAACTCCTGGTACCCAACCGACCCCTGCCCCACAAAAAAAAAAAAAGAAAAAAGAATAAAAATAAAAATACATGTAACTCTTAAATATTGAAGGGTGTTGTAGGTTAAATTTCCTGTTAAATTTCCTTTTCTGTAGGAAATCTATTAGGTGTAAAAATATATGTTCAAAGAAATGGAAGGACATATCAATTTTTAAAAATATGCTAACAATGGGGCTAGGGTTGTGGCTCAGCAGTAGAGCGCTCGCCTGGAATGTGAGAGACCCTGGGTTCGATCCTCAGCACCACATAAAAATAAATAAACAAAATAAAGATATTGTGTCCATGTATAACTAAAAAAAATATTTTTAAAAAATGGAAGGACAAGAGTGCCCATTTGAACTGATCATGGGCCCATGTGTGTGGGATTTTTAAATGGTTGAACGGTTTGACAGTTGGCTGGAGTGCTTTCTTTTCTTTTTTTTTTTATTGGTTGTTCAAAACATTACAAAGCTCTTGACATATCATATTTCATACATTAGATTCAAGTGGGTTATGAACTCTATCAATTTGTTGGCAGCTCCTGCAAAATAAGTAGGTACAATGATGGGCAAATTATGACCAAGACTACTTGAAAATATTTATTGTCTATAGGATGTCCATTTCTCCATTCAAAATGGTTTAACAAATGAAAGAAAACTTCACATTTGACTTTATATACTGTCCAAAAGTCTATGTCTCAGAAAACAAATATTTGGAGCTTATCAAGTTCTATGTGCTTAGTATGGGGGTAGAAAATGGTGCCCATCAGAAAATCCCTGCCATCAGGAGCTTATGGAACATGGGTTAACTAGGATATGACTATCAAAGACATGTGGAAACACATATTCAAGATGCTACATAGGATTAAATGTAAACCAATGGGCCACAGATTATATGTTATACAACGAGGGCTGATGCTGCACATTTTGTAGAAAGACGCTCTCGCATACTGTAATGGCAATCTCACTGCTGGGTGCAGGGGGGTGTCACCTGAGTTCTGAGATGAGGGAGAGTAACTTTGAACAAGGCTGTCTCTATGTCTGGAGACCAATCAACTAGAAGGATGGCTTATCTGCTCCATTATCCCAAGGCCATGTTGGACTAGGGACCACGAAGGCACTCCCATTCAGGAGGGGGGAAGAGTGGGGACACACGGCGCCATGTTCAGGTGCTCACCGACATTGCGTGGCCCATGGCAATCACACTGGACAGTGCCCATCTGGACCTGTTCCTAGGCATCCTGCGTCTTTCTTATTGTCCCCAAGACTTTTCGTGCCTCTCAACTGTGCATTCACTGAGTCTATCAGGCTTTGAGGAAAAATTTTATTTTTCCCCAGCCATTTTATCCAGTGAGAGGGTTCACTGGACGCTTCTAATGCATCCTCCTTGGACTTGACTCTGAGACACTTCCATCATCCCCTTGGAGGAGTTAGGAGCATCTGTGAGAGCATGGCGTGATTTGATCCTTGTGCCCAATCTGAGTTTTAATTGCCCTGTGCTATTCAACTTTCTTAGTTTTATCTTCTGCTTTTTGGGTTAAGAAGGGTGATCTCTTGGGGCTGGGGATGTGGCTCAAGCAGTAGCATGCTTGCCTGGCATGTGCGGGGTGCTGGGTTTGATCCTCAAAACCACTAAAAATAAAAAAAATAAAGATGTTGTGTCCACCGAAAACTAAAAAATAAATATTAAAAAATTCTCTCTCTCGCTCTCTTAAAAAAAAATAAAGGTGGTCTCTGGATTTTCCTGAGTCTTCTCCCTGAAGACACAATAGCATCATCACTAAAGAATTCTATTTCATTGGTTTATTTATTTTATTTATGATACAACATACATAACGTGAAATTCCCATCTTAATAATTACGTGTTTCCTTTGGTAACGAGGAGGGCCTCCACCTGCTGGGTCAACTGATGCCTCACTGAGGCTCCTCCTCCTGTGCAGGTCCCTAGCATCTCTTCCTGGTGACATCTCATTAAATGCAGCTGACGATAACAATGCACACGACTCCTGTTCTGCTTTCCACCTTCCCTGCATCATCTTGCACAGTATCCATCCTTCAAGCATCTTCTTTGCCACCATGTACCCTGCACAGTCATCCTTCCCATTTACATACTGGTTTTAGTGTTGATTTAGTCATTTTAAAAAATTATTTATTTGTTCTAATTAGTTATACATGAGAGCAGAATGCATTCTGATTTACAGTACACAAATGGAGCACAAGTTTTCATTTCTCTAGTTGTATACAATTCGTGTCATCGTACATGTACCTAGGGTAATGATGTCCATCTCATTCTACCATCTTTTCTACCTCCATGCCCCCTCCATTCCCAACCCTCCCCTTTGCCTTATCCAAAGTCCCTCCATTTCTCCCATCCACCTCACCCCCCAATATGAATCAGCATTCACTTATCAGAGAAAATATTTGGCCTTTAGTTTTTTGGGATGGGCTTACTTCACTTAGCATTTTCTTCTCCAACTCCATCCATTTACCTGAAAATGCCATGATTTTATTCTCTTTTATTGCTGAGTAATATTCCATTGTGTATCACCACATTTTCTTTATCCTTTCATCTAATGAACGGCATCTAGGTTGGTTCCACAATTTAGCTATTGTGAATTGTGCTGCTATAAACATTGATGTGGCTGCTGTTTTTAAGACCTTTGGGTATAGTGATTTGGCTATTTTTGGGCAATGATTTCTATACTTGCCAGGTGGTAGAGGCCAGTGCTTCTCAAGCTCTGACAGCCATGCAGAGCATGAGAAGAGCTTGCTAGGGGGCTTGGGGCAGGAGCTAACATTTTGTATTTTTAACAAGCTCCAAGATACTGTTGGTCCAAGGGCCTCATTCTAAAACCTAAGATCATCCTGTAGAAACAAAGAGATTCTAAATCTCAGTGAATTCACATACTGAGAACTTGCCTTTCAATCATGTCACATGCTCAGCACAAATTAGGAGGGTTATCCCTTGCAGCTACTCTGGTATCTGGGTTGAAGGAAGCCCCATCCTGATGCACCCTAGCTTGTGGGCTCTTTTCCTACCCACATATCACTCATTGGAACCAGTCACGTGGTCTCACTTCCCAGTGGGCTGGGAAATCCAACCAACTATGTACTTTTGGATGTGATAGGTGAATAGCACCTGCCGGGGTGGGCCACGCAGTGTCATTGTGTGGAGCTTACTGGCCAAGACATTGCAGTTGCTTTATTTATTCATTTTTGAAAATCTGTTCATTTATTCTAACTTGTTATATATGACAGCAGAATGCATTTCAATTCATAGTACACATATAGAGAATAATTTTTCATGTCTCTGGTTGAACACAAAGTAGAGTCACACCATTCATGTCTTCATACGTCTACTTGGGGTAGTGGTATCCATCTCGTTCCACTGTCTTTCCTGGTTTATTTACTTTTAAACATGGCCATATGTGTGGAAAGGGCACAGCAAGGCAAGACTGAGCCCGTGTGGCCTGGAACGAGCACAGGAGTGATCCACCTGCTGCATTTCCCCATGAGTAGCACCAGCTCCCAGGTGGTGTGGGGCCCAGATCAGAGCTCTGGGCTGAGGGGAAGGGCTTGGGAA